AAATAAACCAAGTTTTGTATGTTTGGTAACAGGGATCAAACTCGGGCCCTTGCGCTTGTGAGGCAGGCGGTGGAACCACTGAGCTAAATTCCCAGCCCTTTTTGTTTTATTTTGAGACAGGGTCTCACTAAATTGCACAGGTTGGACTCAAACTTGCAATCCTCCTGCCTCAGCCTCCCAAAGCGCTGGGAGGACAGGTGTGCACCACCGCATCCAGCTTGTATACTGTAATGTGTGTACATCAGTCCTCGCGTCTGGGCTGAGCTTGCTTGCACTGTGTCACTGTGTGTCAGATTCTGTGTGTGCATCGGGCACCTGTGGTCTGTTCCAGGCCTCCCTCAGATTCCACAGAGGGACAGCCAGCGACACTGAAGTGCCCTCTCCCAGGAAGGAAGTGGAGGCTGTAGGAGGCCTCGTTCCATCTTCACAGCTCTCTAGACTTCATGAGGTGGCAGAAAGGGCAGGACCCAAAGACAACTGGAGGCCTGGGGAGGGGCCTTGGGGGAGGGGTGGCCGACGGAGCTGGCAGCGCCCTGCCTGGCTTTGGCTTGGTGGTGTTAGGAGGTGAGGGACACGAGGGACATGCGCTCCTAACCACGGGCTTCCTCATCTTCACCTTCACGGTAACAGGCTGGCCACTGTCACCCCGAGTAGTGGCGACACGCCACTGCAAACTTCCCCCCTTTTCTGGTGACCTGAGGCGCCCTTCCCTACAGCAGCAGGAAGTCCCATCTGTCTCCTGTCACTGCTTGATGGCACAGAAGAATCTTTCCTCCTCTCTAGGGCACGGAGCAAGAGAAAGCTAAACTCCTTCCTGTGCAGACAGAAAACCGTCATCCCTTCTACACATAAACCAGGAGATGAGTTGAGAAATCCCCTATCAAACGGGGGGAATGCCTTGCCTCCTGCCGGTGACAGAGGAAGTTCCATTATATTCAGGTGTTTGGGTGGAAATCCATCTTCTTTTCCAGGCGTCGCAGGAAGTCCCACCCCTTTCAGATCTGAGACAGGAAATCCTGCTTATGTCTAACATAAAATAAAGAGATGTTCCACCCCTTTCAGATATGGGTCAGGAAATTCTACCCATGTCTGATATAAAATAAGGAGACTAGCCAGGCAAGGTGGCTCATTCCTGCAATCCCAGCACTTGGGAAGCTGAGGCAGGAGGATTGCTGTGAGTTCGAGACCAGCCTGGGCTATACAGTGAGTTCCAGGTCAGTCTCTACTACATAGTGAGACCCTGTCTCAAAAAATAGATAGATAAAATAAGGAGATTTCCCACCCTTTTTCTTGGTGAAATAAGAAACCACACCTCTTTCCTATTAAAGAAGAAAATCATGTCCAAGTCAGCAAAAGGGGTGAGGAAAGTTCCATTTATGTTTGCGAGGAAATGGGAAACCCTGTACCTTTACCTAATTTAGTGGGAAAACTCAGCAACTCATATCCTGGGCTGGGCATGGTGGCGCATACCTGTCATCCTAGTACTCAGAAGGCTGAGGCAGGAGGATCATCATAAATTCAAGGCCAGCCTGGGCTACATAGTGAGACCCTGTCTCAAAAAAAAAAAAAAAAAAAAAAAAAAAAAAAA